TGGAGGAAAATCCCCTCTTTGGCAGAAAAAGGGAGAAAGCAGCCATTTGGAAATACAGTTGACCTTTCAGCAACGTGGGTTTGAACTCTGTGGGTCCTCTTACACATGGATTTTTTCTCAACCAAACTCAGGTGGAAAATATACAGTATTTGTGGGAAACGAAACCCATGTAAATGGAGGGCTGACTTTTGGTATTTGTGGGCCAATTGCAGGAATTAAGTATGCTTGGATTTTGGCATGCACAGGGGTGGGGCATTGGTTCTGGAACCGGTCCCCCTCATATACCTAGGGATGACTGCATACCCAAAGTATGTTGTTCTTCTTAACAAAGTCTGCCCTCAAGAGAAACTTTTTTTTTTTTTTTTTTTTGAGACCGAGTCTGGCTGCCACCCAGGCTAGAGTGCAGTGGCACAATCTCAGCTCACTGCAACCTCTGCCTGCAGGGCTCAAGCAATCCTCACACCTCAGCCTCCGGAGTAGCTGGGACTAAAGGCATATGCCACCATACCCAGCCAAGTTTTGTATTTTTTTGGAGAAATGGGATTTCACCATGTTGCCCAGGCTGGTCTCAAACTCCTGAACTCAAGTGATCCACTCACCTTGGCCTCCCAAAAGTACTGAGATTACAGACATGAGCCACTGTTCCCAGCCAAGAGAAACTATTTTAACACAGCCTGTCTGGCCTGGGGGAAGGGAAACACTTAACACGAACTCCCTTTAGTCTTCCTATCTCATCTAAGTTGGGATTGGAAGGAGACAAGAAAACAAAACTGAGAAGCACTTTTGAAGGTCACAGTCCAGGGGCACAGGCTCACTGCAAGACTGAGACGTAATGCTAGGACTATAGAATGCTTCCTCTTTTCCATACCCAACTACTATGTCAGGAGGGCTTTTGTATAGTAACAGGGAGTACCGCTGAAAGAACTGCACATCCTAGATCTTATTCAAGAAAAGTTATGTAAAAAAGCCTAGAAATAACATGGGCGGTGAAAGCAAGGTCATCCAAAGAAATTTTAACCTCTGACATGTACAGCTATAGAAAACAAGAAGCACGGCCTGTTAGCCAATTAACCATAAAACCCCACATTTGAGGCCTGATTACTTCAGTTCATTTTACCCAATACATCATATCCAGCTTTCAACAAAAAATACAAGGCATACTAAAAGACAAAATAAACAATTCTAAGAGACAGAGCAGGCATCAAAACCAGACTCAAACATGGCAGAGATTTTAGACTAATCAGGTTGACAATTTAAAATAACTATGATTAATATGCTAAGGATACTAATGGAAAAAGTGGACAGCATACAAGAAGAGATGGCTAATGTAAGTAGAGAGATAGGCACTCCAAGAAGTAATTAAAATGAAATGCTACAAACCAACAACCCTGTGACAGAAACAAAGAATGCTTGATGGGCTCATGAGTAAACTGGGCATGGCCAAGGAGAGGAATTGTGAGCCTGAGGATGTGTCAGTAGAAACTGGGAAACTGGAATGCAGAGGGGAGAAAAGGTTGAAAAACATCTGAACAGAACTTCCGAGACCTGTGTGACAATCATAGAAGATGTAACGACATGTAATGAGAATACAAGGAAGAGAAAGGAGAAGAAATTTTGGAAATTGTCATGGCTGAGAATTTTTCAAAATTAATGACAGATCCAGGAAGCACCAGGAACACTAAGCAGAATAAATATCAAAGTGTCTACACCTAGGCACATACAAAGCACAGAAAACCAAAAACAAAGAGAAAATCTTGAAAGGAGCCAGAGGGCTCCTATGCTGGCACCAGCGGCTGCAGAGGAGCAAGGGTAATAAATAGGGCTTCTCTTCAGAAAGCGAGCAATCAGGAAGAGAGTGGCATAATATGTTTAAAGTGTTGAAGAAAAAAAAACAAAACACTAACCTAGAATTATGTATCCAGAGAAATTATTCTTCAAAAGTGAAGGAGAAAGACCTTGTCAGACAAAAGTTGAGGGAATATGTGATTAGTAGACCTGCCTTGCCTTTCCTTCGTCGTAAAAAAAGAAAGAAAAAAAGAAAGAAAGAAAGAAAGAAAATTATGTAAGTCATAAAGATGGACCCACCTAATGAAGGGAGAAGCTTTAGAGAAGGAAGAACTACAGGTAAAATGAAATCTGTTTTTTTATTCTTTTTTGGGGACACACTGTCAGTCTGTTAACCAGGCTGTTAACTCAGCCCTTTTCTTATTCTTAATTGATCTAACAGATAAAATTATGTTCCAGATAATAAGAGCAGCAAGTATTTCATGCTTATAGCATATGGATAAGTAATAAATGATAGCAATATTATAAGGATAGGAGGGAGGAATTGGGAATACTCTCTTATAAGGAACTTCCACTACCTGTGAAGCAGTATAGTGTTATTTGAAAGTGGATTTGGGTTAGTTATAAATGTATTTTCAAACTCAGGGCAACCACCAATAAAACATTTTTTATATAATATGCTGAGACAGGGGAAAAATTGACTCATACACAATTCTCACTTAAAACTAGACAAGGCAGCAAATGAGTGGAAGACCAAAAAAAAAAAAAAAAAACAAAGAATAAGGACAATGAATAAAATACATGTCAGTGGTCTTAAATATATCAATTAAAAGAGACTGTCAGAGTGGGTGCCAAAGAAGCCAAGACCCAACTATTTATGTTGTCTACAAGAGACCCACTTTAAATATGAAGATACAGTTTAAAAGTAAAGGAATGGAGAAAGATATACCATGCTACCACTAATCAAAGAAAGCTGGAATAACTATATTAATATCAGATGGAGCTAACATCAGAGCAGGGAAAATCATCAGGGGTACAGGGGACATTACATAGCAGAACCTGCAAGGCCACAGTGAGGAGTTGGCCCAAATCCTGAACTTGATGAACTAGAGCAGGGGTGTCCAATCTTTTGCCTTCCAAGGGCCACATTGGTAAAAGAATTATCTTGGGCCACACATAAAATACACTAACACTAATAATAGTTGATGACCTTAAAAAATTGCAAACAACAAAAACTCGTAATGTTTTAAGAAAGTTATGAATTTGTGTTGGGCCACATTCAAAGTCATCCAGGGCCACATGTGGCCCATAGGCCATGGGTTGCACAAGCTTAAGCTATAGCAAATTAGTTAGCCCCTCTAGCCTTCATCTCTTGCTCCATGAAGTAGGCATAAAGTGCTGGCCTCATGGGGTTGTTGTGAGAATTACATACTGTACATTGAGCACTGAGATCAGAACCTGGTCCAGTAATTAGGGGTCATAGTCATTGAGCTCATCATCAAAAATGAAATGTTCCTGGACTTTTAAACCCCTTGTCTATGATTCTTTTGTTATTTTGTCTTAATCTTGTAATCCAAAAATATCTATTATGTATATTATTTTCGTCTCTAATCACTAAGAATCATTGACTCTAAAGGCATCAAAAGAGAGTCACTTATAGGCCCAAATAAGTGATGAACCATCTGTAAAATATATTCATGGAGATGCCATACTGTTCCCATATTGACTTTCTCACTATTTGGAAATCCCTTTCTGTGTCTGGCTCAGGCTCTGCAAAATAGAATATAAATCTGTCTTTTCCCACCTTCAAGAATCTAGCCCAAGCCCAGTGAACCATTTCCTGAGCAGCCTCTCCTTAGAGAGTGCTGCTTTGCTGGTGCTACATGGAGTTATGTGTTCTGGAGGATGGTGCGTGGCCTTCCCCTTCACACATCCCACCCTGAACCATAGAACACACAAGAAGACATTTAGGATTGAACACAGTTTACTTTTCATAAAATGTTTATAAAATGTTCAGTGCATGGACTCCTTGGTGTTTCTGGTAAATAATGTGACTACTATTGTATTTCCCAATGGGAAAATTATTGTCTTTTGGTACAATATCTTAGCAGATTTATCTGTTACCCACTTTGACATCTCAGGCATAAATGCACAAGTACACACACATCCTCTCAATTCATAATCCCTGTGGAATTGTGAATTTCCCAGAGGGGGAATTGAATCCTAAATCTGTTCTGACCTTTATGCAGGACACCCCTGACGGCATCCTTACCCGTGTGTTTGTGTACCAGCATCACTGGAGCACAAGACTAGCTCAAAGTCCACATAGCTCTCTGAATATCCAGAAACTACTTTTTCCCCCCTTTTAGCCTCTCATTTTTATCCTTCATTATTTCCAGTCTGGCACTTTATTCTCTCATTATTCATTAGAACTTCTTGATTGTCTGAGATTTACTTACAGGATCTGGTTAGAAATGTGGGAAAAACATATTGTTTGTAGTTCTAATGAAATACCCCCAAGAAATTCTGTTTTCCTAAGTCTGTATGCAGGATTTAGGGTATTGCACATGGTTTCCCAGACGCGTGAGGTCAGTGCTTTGTTATTGGCAGATCACCAAGAGAAGACCTGCCCTGTAGTATGAGGTTCCACAGGTCTCGTACAGGTTGAGCCTTGATGGACGATCCTGATGCCTTTGTGATGAGGAAATTTTACCTTTGGCGCAGCTGGGGCCAAGCTTCTCAGGATGACCGTCCTTGGCCAGGTGCTTACATGGAAAGCAGCTCTGGTCTGCTCAGCCCAGTGGCAACCCTCCACTTGCCCATTCTCGCATGTGTGTAGAAACTTTCACAGTTTCTTTTCTTGTTGGCTTCTTCACCTAAAATTATTTTCTAATTCACTGTTGCAATATTCCCTACCAGTTACATTGATCTGTTTTAGAGATTGTGATCATGATTGCAATTACTATTGACTTCACAGACCCTTTCTTTCCATCGTTCTGTGATGGGCACTGGTATTTCTCTCCAGGTATAAAAACATGTACTCTTTCCTACCTGACTTTACCGTTTTGGTTTCTGGCCGCCTAATTTGTGAGGAACACCCAACAGATCTGCAGCCTTTCCAATTCTCATCACCCACCAGATCTTATCTCCTACTGACACACAGTGAGGGTGCCTTCAGTTCAGCCTTTCCATTAAGTAAAAGATGGGAAACTTACCTGGTGCTCTGTATTGCTTTCATTTGGATGACCAGGACATGAAGTGGGTAGATGAGCAGGGGTGGGCAAGTATAGCCGTGCAGAATCTTTAGAGCAAGCTGATAATTTCTGCAGGGCATTTCATCAAGTCCCATATCATCTGGCTTCCCACACCTGTTCTTCAGCCTTTTCTCTTATCTCCATGCATTTCCGTAAACACCTATTCCAGAGCTTTCCATTCTTAGATCCAGTCTAGGCCTCTACACCTGCCTCACTTCCTTTTGTGGCCCTACCTCTGACTTCACTTTGCTCTCAGGAATCCCTCAGGAGCGCTGTGCAGCCCTTTGCCATGTTCTATCCACAGTCTTTCTGTTTATTTATCTGTAATACTTTAATCATTAACTGTAGGCACAGCATTCATATAAACCAGCTAGCACTCAGCTAAATTAGAATCTCTTGAAATGCCCTTTGGGGAACCCTGCCCTAGAAAAGACAGCCAGACCCACTTCATGTTTTCATTCCTATTTTAACATTTGTCCGGAGTGCTCCACTCTTCTCACCATGAATCTCTGCCAACACCCATGGTCATGACCACCTCCTACATGAAGCCTTCTATGGCTTCTCTCAGCTAGAAAAGAATTCTCTGTAGCTTCAGAATATTTTATCTGTGTCCACCCTAAAGCTTTTTTTCTCTTTTGCCTTCTTGAATACATAGTTTTACCTCTCCTGCAAACTACTTACAGTTCAGAGTCTCAATTTTTTCATGTCTGTATTCCCCCACAGCCCTTAACAGAACTTTGATCAAATGATGCAAATGAATAACTGTTAAACAGATGACATGTGAAATCTCTGCCCCTTTTGACCCAGAAAGATTCACTGTAGTCTTTAGAATTTTCAGACAAAGTTTTAGAGTCTTCTGAGTATTCATTTTTCCCAAAAGCTATATCTTCTTGTATTTTAGAGAACTTATTTATATAATACAGAGATAGGAATGTAGGGAAATAAAAATTCTGTTTTTCAGAAATAAACCTTACATTTCTCTTAAGGTTTTTACATGTATCTCAAAATTGTATTTTTTGTTGTTGTTGTTGTTGTTGTTGTTTTTTACCTTGCCTCTCAGTACTATTGCAACACACTTTTGGGCATTTGAACCTTTTAGTCACTCTGTGAGGCCCATAGGGCAGACAACACTGCCCTTGTGCTCCATACATGTGTGTAGTTGATATGAGTGTAAATAATTTATCCAAGAGTACTTGATTCTGGTACCAAGTCCAGCATCCTGAATCCCAGTAGACTGAATCTCTTTAAGAGTAGAGAGGTATCAGTTTTCACACCTGTATGCAAATGCTTTTTATATTCTGTGTACACATCCTGTGTTCATATTATAGGTATATGTGTGAAGTCTAGGAGAAATTTGAATTCTAGACCTTCGTATTAAGTTCCCCACCTCTTCCATGATAAAGGCAGTGCCAAAAATCTGGACACAGAAATCAGTCATATCATTGTTATGAACACAATACCTGCAGTTTTTTAGCAGAATGAGTAACTGACCAAACTGGGTAAGTTAAGCCACGCGCATTCCTCATTTGTCGTTTTCAATGTGGCCTCCCTCTCGGCAGTATTCCAATCCTGGAGGCTGGAGGTTATCTGTGAGGAATCGGAACAGAGTTCGGTTGTTCATTGCCCTGCTTTGAACAATCAAGATATCTGTATTGCATCCTTGAAAGATTAATCCCCACAAATCAAATGGGTATTTTCAGATCATTTTCTGTGTCCCAAGGATTCTTTTTTGTCCTTGCTCCAACAACTGGGCATGTCCTTGTGCTGGCATGCTGGCTAGTGTTGCAACATGGACTTCAGTGTCATCACTTTGCTGCAAAAGGCTTTCTTTGCTTTCACAGTATCTTGCCAGGAAGAGTCCCTGGATATGAAGTGTCTTCATCTGGACCCAAACCTGAGAAAGAGAAATTAATTTGGGCTGCACCTTCTAGGTGTGTGCCTCCCCTGAGCACTGTACTTGTTTAGTCAAGGAACACATGATAGGGGCTCCACATGCAGCTCCTAATCTGCAGGTGGTAAGGAAATTCAGTTTGTCTGCAGTCGTGGAAGATCTTGTTAATCCCCAGGCTTTGGTCATCATGCTAGGAGAGGGCACTTAGGAGTCACTCAGAAACTTTAGGTGTTGTGAAATATACACGCTCAGCAGGATGAAATACCGAGATAAGGTTCTGTTTAGGACTAATACTTGATGTCGTCTTCCATTAAATTTACCATTGAGCATGGGATCAGGAGTGAGTGCTCCATGAGAACCCTTCCCCATCCACTTTGTACAGCAGCAGCACTGTTTTCCCTGGCAGGACCACTCACCCTGTCTGTACTGGAGCCTCCTGTACTGCCTCAGTGTCCAGTGGTCTGCAGAGCCTAAAATACCTGACCATCAGTTTCCACTTCCCACTGAGAATACTGTCTTCTTCTAGGAAGTACTTAAGTACTAAAGTACTCCTTAAGTACTAAAAACTAAAGTCAGAGACTATCATCATAGGGATAGGAAAAAAGGACATAACATATCTTATGGATCAGTATCCCCAACTTATGGGGGAATATATCCTAGTTAGCTTGGTGAATGAGTTTTCAGCAGTCATCAAACAAGCAGGAGGCTGTGTGGGTAGGCCGTCCTGTAACTCCACTGGTCCCATGTACCTTACTCATACTGTCACAGGTTGGGATATATCTTGCTATGAGGTAAGGCAAGTCCCTACCCAGTTCTTCTTTGGCTTTTTTAGTCAATTTCATTTCTATAAATGTCTCAAAGTCAGCTTGTCAAGATACATACATGCAATGCATTAAATCAATAGGTCATTCTAGGAAGGAAAGTCACAGCAATATTGAGTCTTCTAGTCCAACAACAAATCTATCATTTCATTTATTTATACTAACATCTCTGAATAAAGTTTTGTAACTTTCTTTATACTTTCCTTGTTAGATCATTTTATATTTTTATGCTTTCGTAAATAATATTTCCTTTTCTAACCATTTGTTGCTGGTGGACAGAAATGCATTTGGATTTTTGGTGAATTTATTCTGTATCCGTTGACTTTGATAAACCCTCTTACTAATTCTGACCATATGCCATAGATTATTTTGGAGATTCTGTGAGTACAGTTATATCATCTAAAAAAACGACAGTTTTACTTCTTCCTTTCTAGTTTGTAATCCTAATATCTGTGTCTTGCATTACTGTATTGGCAAGGATATCCAGTGCAAATGTTGGTAGATGTGATGTAGGGGGATATTTCATTTCTCCTTCACAGTCTCCCACATCAGGTTCTCAATGTTTCACTCTTTAGTAGTTGCTCTGGAATACTGTAGATATTCTTTAACAGATTAAGGAAGTTCCCTTCTATTTCAGGATTGCTAAGAATTTTTTTCCTTAACTGGATTTTGAATTTTATGAACCACTTGTTTAAATGTCTTTTGAGATGATTACCCAACTTTTGTCATTCAGTCTATTAATGTGGTTGTATACAGACTGATTTTACTGAAAATTGTGTTCTTGGGATATACCCGACTTGGTCATGATATTGTTATTTTTGCCCATTATGGAATTGGCCTGCTAATATTTTGTTAGGGTTTTTGTATGCATGTTCATGAGTGAGATTGGCCCCTCATTTTGGTATTAAGATTGTACTAGCCTAATAAAATGAGTTTGTTTTCTCTTTTCCTATACTATGGAAGTTTCTCCAAAATAATAGTTATTTGTTCTTTGAAGATTTTATAGAATTTGCCAGTGAAGGCATCTGAGCTGGCTTTTCCTTGTTAAAATGTTTTTTTCTACTATGTTTCATCTACTTTAAAGCTCATAGAATTATAGCTTTTATATATCGTCTTGTGTCTGTGTTTGCTAAATTTTATTTTTCTTCGCATTTGGCCATTTCATCTAAATTTTCAAATTTATAGCATAAAGCTACGTATATTTTCTAAGTATCTATAGTTGGATTCCTTTTTCTTTCTAATATTATTTATTTGTGCTTTTTTTTTTCTTGATTCACCTTGCCAAAGAAATGTCAATTGTATTAGATGTTTTTCAAAGAACCAAGTTTTTTTTTTTTTTCAACTTTTATTTTAGATTCCAGGAGTACATGTGCAGGTTTGTTACCTGGGTATATTGCATGATGCTGAGGTTTGGAGTATGAGTGGTCCTATCACCCAGGTACTGAGCTTAGTACCCAATAGTTAATTTTTCGACCCTTGCTCCCCTCCCTCCCCCTTCTACTAGTTCCCAGTTTCTATTGTTGCCATCTTTTTATACAATTTTTGTTGTTAACTTTATGTACATGAGTACTCAGTGTTTAGCTCCCACTTATAAGTGAGAACATGCGGTATTTGGTTTTCGGTTTCTATGTTAATTTGCTTGGGATAATGGCCTGCAGCTGCATCCATGTTGCTGCAAAGGACATGGATTTGTTTGATTCTTTTGGTTTTTCAGTACTTCTTGAGATGGGTGCCTATCTCATTGTGTTGCAGTCTTTATTTCTTTGTAATATGAGCATTTGATTCTACACGGTCCCTGTAAATACTGCTATAAGGTATAAGTTATAATATCTGCTAGTCTTATTTTATCAGTTAGCTTGACATATTGCTAAATTTCCATTTCAGTATTTTGTTGACCCATGAGTTATTCAGAAGTGTATTTCTTAATTTCTAAACGTAGAGGTTTGTGCCAATTATCCTTTTGTTGTTTGTTGTCAATAGCTTTTTGGGCACAGAATATGGATTGTAAAATTCCCACCCCTTGAAATTTATTGAGATTTGCTTTATGACCTAGAACAGAAGCCAACAAACATTTTTTGTAAAGGGCCAGATAGTAAATATTTTAGGCCTTGAGTCTGTCACAACTAAATAACTCTGCCATTGTTGTGCAAAAGTAGCCATAGAAAATGTGTAAGTGGGCCAGGCACAGAGGCTCATGCCTATTATCCCAGCACTTTGGGAGGCAGAGGTGCATGGATCACTTGAGGCCAGGAAATCGAGACCAGTCTGGCCAACATAGTGAAACCGCATCTCTACTAAAAGTACGAAAAAAATTAGCTGGGCTTGGTGGCACAGGCCTATAGTCTCAGCTACTTGGGAGGCTGAGGCACCAGAATCACTTGAACCCGAGAGGTGGAAGTTGCTGTGAGCCAAGATTGAGCCACTGCACTCTAGCCTGGGCAACAGAGTGACACTCTGTCTCCAAAAAAAAAAAAAAATGAAAATGTGTAAGTGGATAACTCTGGCCATGTTCCATTAAAACTTTATTTATGAACTGAAATTTAAATCTCATAATTTTCACATCACAAAATACTCTTTTAATTATTTTCCAACTATTTACAAAGTAAAAAGCATTCTTAGCTTGCAGGCCATACACAAGGAGGTGCCAGGTTGGAATTAGACCCTGCTGACTGTATTCGTGGATCCTTGGCTGAGGATATGGTCAATTTTAAAAAGTATTCTGTACATGCTTGAAATGTGTCTTCTGCAATTGTTGGGTAGAGTATTTTATATGTTTCCGTTATGATGAGTTTGTTAGTTGTCTCGTTCAGATCCTCTGTATTCTTGCTGTTTTCTGGAAAACGTTTCCTTGGAAATATATTAATATTGAAAAGGACACAAATTGTAAGTGTACAGCATGATGGATGTTTTCAAAGTGAACACACTTGTGTAATACCACCCCAGATCAAAATAGCGGATATTGCCAGCCCCCAAAATTCTCACTCGTGCCCCATCTCAATCACTAATACAATGAAGAAGTGGCCGCTAGTCTGACTTTTGGGCCTGTTGATTCATTTTACTTGATTTTGAACTTTCTGGGAATGGAATTATGTAGTATGAACTTTTTAGTGTCTGTTTCTTTCACTCATCATTGTATTTGAATTATTTTCATGATGTTACATGTAGTTGTGGTTTATTCATTTTCATTACTGTGGAATATTCTGTTGGGTTAATATAACACAAACTTTTAATTTGTTCTCCTCTAGATGGACCTTGTGGCTGTGTTCTGTTTGGTGAATATGTGTAACTTGCCTTTTCATTTTTGTGATGGGCAGAGTTTCAGAAATTTATATAAAGTCCAATGTATTTTCTTTCTTTTATGATTTATGCCTTTTGTACCCTGAAAAATCCTTGCCTATCCTAAGGTCGTGGTGATTTTCTCATGTTTTTTTCTAGAAGCTTTATGGTTTTAGCTTTAATATTTCAGTCTATAATCCTCTCAATTTTTGTGTGTGATATGAGATGAAGGTCGAGGTTCACTTTTCCATATGGCTTTCCAGTTGTTCCAATGTCTTTATTGAAACAGACTTTTTTCTTCCACCAAACTGATATGCTGCCTTTAGTGCAAATCAATTACCATGTAGGTATGACTCTATTCTTGGACTCTGTATTTTGTTTTATTGAAATATTTGTTTATCCTGGTACCACTATAATGATTTCTTTATTATTATATTTTTATAGTGTGCCTTGAAATTAGGTAATATAAGTCTTATTATTATCATCTTGACTAATTTCTGTCTTTTCATTTCCATGTGAACTTAGAAGTATTTGGTACATGTATATTTTTTAAAAGCTTGCCAGAATTTTGATTGGGTTTTGTTGAATCTATAGCTTAATTTTAGCAGAATTGATATGTTAACAATATTGAAACTTCCAGTCCATGAACATTGTACATCTTTCCATTTATTTAACTTGTCTTTAATTTATCTCATCACTGTTTGGTAGTTTTCAATATAGATGTCTTCCATATTCTTTTATCAAATTTATTCTATTTTGATGCAATTATAAACAATGTTTTTACAGGTCTTTTCCCAATCATTGGTTGCTAACATTCAGAAATATAATTGATTTGAGGAGTATGTTGTTTTCTGAGACTTATCAAAATTCACTCACTAGTTCTAATTAAATTTCTTTGGACTTTTCATATACATAATTGTGTTATCTGTGAATAAAAACAATTCTACTTCTTTCTAACCTTTATGTTCCCTTCGTCTCCCCTACCCTTCTTTCTTTCTCTTAATTTTCTTTATTGTAGTGACTAGGATCTTCAAAAATGTTGAGTAGAAGAGGTGAACATAGACATCCTTGCCTTTTCAGATCCCTTTAGGAAACACTTAATCTTTCATCATTAATTATGACACCTTTTTCCCCCTTTGAGCTCTCATTAAGTTGAGGTATTTCCCTTCTATTCCTGGTTTGCTGAGCGATTTTGTTCTGTTTCGTTTTTCTAATTATGAATGAGTTAAATTTTATTTAATGCTTGTTCTGTATCTGTTAAAGTCATATTGTTTTTATTCTGTATTTTGTCAATGTGGATTTTTGCACATTGCTAAAATAAATTGCATTGATGGATTTATGAATGTTAAATGAACCTTGAGTTCCAATGGAAAATTCTGCTTGATCAAGATATATTGTCCTTTTTTATCTTGCTGGATTTAATTTACTAAAAATGCATAAAGGATTTTTGCATCATTGCTGAGAGATGTTAGTCCATAGTTTTCTTATCATGTCAGCTCTTTATGGGCAGAGACAGTCTCTCATTCATTATTGTATCCCAAGCCCCTTCACCAGTGCCAACCACAGAAAAGGGGCTTTACAGATAAATAGTTTTTGAGAGAAGTTAAAAGACCTAGGATGGAGACCCACATTCATTAATTTAAATTATTTAAAATATTAATGAATGTAACTCATTTAGCAGGTATTTGCCTTCCAATTGCGTGTCAGGTACAGTGCTACTCAGAAGGGGTTTTCTTCCTCCATCTCTAGCCACTCCTTCTTTTCTAATTGTTTCTCATTTCTCTAAGCTCTAAACATTGGAAAGCCAGAGCATAGAGTCCTTGAGTCTCTTTTCTTGATCTTTTGTTGATGTTATCTGATCTCATGGCTAGAAGCATCATCTCTAAATGAACAGCTCCAACCTAGGCCTTTCCCCTGACTCTAGCATGGTATATCTACACTTGCTCAATACATCATCACTGGATACTTAGCATGTCTGAAGTTGAGCTAATGACCCTCCCTCTCAGTCTTCTCCATTTCAGGAAAAGGTAGCTACAGCCTTCCAATGGCCAGGCTAGAAACTGTGTCATCATCCTTGACACCTCTCTATCTCTCCCATCTCATTAACCATCCTCAACAAATTCTGACAACTCTACCTTCAAAATGTATCTATCACCTTTCTCCACTTCTGCTGCCATTCTGATCCAAGCCATTACCATCTCTTGCCTAGGTTATTCAGTGGTCACCAGCTAGTCTACATAATTCCCCTTTGCAGTTTTCTCAACACAGGTGCGAAAACAATACCTTTGAAATGTAGGTTAGATCATATCCCCTGCTTCCCTAAACCCTCAGGAGGCTTTGATCTTTCTCAGAATAGAAATCCAGAACCCTTAAAACTTCCTACAAAGCCCCCTTGTGATCTGCTTGACTTTAGCTCTTAATTCTTCCTTTTACTCGCTTGGCCCCAGCCACGGTGACTTCCTTGCTGTTGCTTAAACATAGTCATTCTACTCCCACCACAAAGCCTGTGCTGTTACTCTGCCTCGAATGTTCTTCCATTAGATCTTCCTATAGCTTGTGGTTCATTCATCACTTTCTTTAGGCCTTTACTGAAATGTCATCCTCTCCTTAAAGCCCTCCCTGGCCATTAGAGCCAACTGGAGACCCCTCCCAAATATAAAGTTCTGTTGCTCTTCCCTGCTTTATTTTTACCTTAGCACTTTTCCTGCCTATCATATATTTTATATGTTTATACTGTTTATTCTCTGAAATCTCCAATAAATTCCAAGCTCAATAAATTCAGGGATTTTTGTACTATTCACTCTTGTTTCCCCAGTGAGTAGAACAGTGTCCATCACATAATAAATGTTTTCTGAATACATGAATAGGCAAGTAATAAGTGAATGAATATAAGAGTTACATGATCTCGTGGAGCTCATGTAAGAGTTGTAATCTCATGGAGCTTACAATCTCCATATTAGTGAATAAAATTAAAGAAATTCTAATGGGAGAAAAAGGAGAGAAAAGAAATAAATCCAAAAAAGGCAAGTACAGAAACTTGTGAGTTTTCCACATAACAGAAATGGGTTCTGCTAAGAAAAGCTAGTCTCTATTAAAAACAGAAGCCGGGTGTGGTGGTGTGACTATAATTCCAGCTACTCAGGAGACTGAGGTGGGAGGATGCTTGAGCCCAGAACTTCCAGGCTGCAATGGGCTGTGATTGTGCCCCTGCACTCCAGGTTGGGTGACAGAAGGAGACCCTGTCCCAAAAAAAAGTAGAAAGAAATGAAGGTAATACAGTATCTTGGAAGCAGAGGGGGGAAAGGTCAAGAAGAATGAGGACCGTGTGGGACTTTGTAGTTGTTGACAGGGATCGTCATCATCTCCTTTAAGAGTTAATATACATCAGCACCCGTGGCAGGAACATTACCAATTCCATAACTGGTTTCAGACGGATGCAAGACTAGTGTTGTGCAGTGAAGCATGTCTGTGTATCATGCATAATTCACATGATGTAGGCACTTAAGAGCAATGCCATTTCTATAAATGACAACAGAAGAGAAAAAACGAATAACCTGGTAAGATTTTGTCGTTGAAAGTTTGGCTGGAGAATGCCTAGTAGAGGAGCATTGTGGAGCAGTCCTGCTTCACTCGATTTGAAAGCCCTGGACCTGCGTCCTGTTAACATCAGCGTCTGCTCTGTGGGTGACAGCTTACATGCTCATTGCAGGTCTGACATCAGTCAGCTACTCTCATATCTTTGATTTGACTTTTACCAGTTTTTAAAATTTGTTTTTCCATTTCAAATCAACAGGTTCCATTTTTTGGGCCTCTGTTCGATGGAGCCATAGTGAGTGGGAAGCTGCTGCCAAGCCTTGTATGTGCCACGTGCATCAACGCCAGCAGGGCTGTGAAGTGCCTCATCCCACTCTACCAGAGCTTGTATCTTTTTGCTTTAAATATGTAACTTACTAACCATCCCAGAATCAAGATTCCTGGCAATTTTTCATAAGAGGTAAGTATTCAAAACTGAATTGAAGAGGGAAGAGATTTTTTTTCAGTCTCTGTTAAAAATAACATAGTGTGGTTTTTCATAGCATTTGTTAATTTATATTAAATATAACAATTTTGTGCTGCATTAAACTTAGAGTTTACTTTCATGATTTACTCACATACGTTTGTGTCTGAGAAGCTGTGACCACTATGAGATGCTCCTGTCTCCTTAGGTATTTTGCCTCACGTTCAGTCTCATCCTGTATCCCTCTTATTTGTGGCAGCCCATTGTGTATAAGGTGGGATGCTGAGCAAAACGTATTGCTCATTCAGAGTGCCTACCAGAAACCACAGCAAATGAAATGACCCCAATAAATCAAAGAATGTGGCAGGTACCGCATGAGAACTGCAAGTAGGTTTCTGGAAGATCTGAGGAGATAGAAATTGCTTCTGGTTGAGAGGAGAGGGCCACCTGAGAACTGCAAGTAAGTTTCTGGAAGATCGGAAGAGATAGAAATTGCATCTGGTTGAGAGGAGTGCGGAAGGTGTCCTGAATTAAGTTGCATTTGGACTTATCAATAGGAATAGCTAGACATTCTTTTGTAATTCTCCCAAATCGTTGATATTTTCTTCTCTAGATCCTGATTTTGTTTCCAAAAACAGAATAAATTTCGCTCCTAAAATTTTTTCCTCAAACATTAATTGGCCTGCCGTAATCCTTAAATTCAAGCATGATCTCAAGTTATAAGAAAAAGAGATTAAGATGGGTGACCTCATAAAATTGATGCAAAAAAAAATTTTTGACCTCCTAATAAAACTTAGAATCTCTTTGTTTCTAATTGGTATTGATAATAATTTGAAACGTATTGTGTTTGACCTCTATATATACTTATCCAAACCTAATAGTAAGTGATGTGTTGCTATAGCGGGTGAGAGTTGGGGGTGGATGAAAACTATCCCATGTGAATAGATACAGTTCATAAAAAAATACCTCTCATTAAAATCCTGGTCACTTCATTGACTGATATTCTGCCTTTAGATTAAAAAAAAATACATATGCCATGTGGCAACTTAAAATTATCATAGAAATGAGTAGTAGAAAAGAGCTATTAGGTCCCATCTGGTCCCTCCCCCGGGGGCCAGGGCAGCATTATTCCCTTCAGTGTACCCTTTCGTGCTTTGTCCAGGCTGGTGGTGAGTGTTTTGGAGATGGCATTCTTTGCAGTGATTTCCACAACACTCTAGTCATAATCTTATGGCTGGTGTCAATTTGGCCTTCAGCATGGAGTTTTTATTTCACATACTGTTAAAAAGAGCCTCTTGGCAGAAATGAGAAGTGATTGGTTTGTCAGTTTGCATGTCAACTAGGACGAGCTGGGCACTCATCAGTCAAGTATGTTGGACCAAGGCACCAAAAAAAATTTTTTTTTATTTTACAAATGAGAAAATTCCATTTTATATTAATTCCATTGTGACTTTTGTCATGTCACCTTCTCTACTTATTGAACTTCTCATTATAAAATACTTGCTTTGTTATTTTGTTTAACACTGCTTTCTCAAATAAGAATGTGATACAATTGGAATAATCAGGTTTAGGGAAAACAGTATTTTTAAAAGTTCAAAGGATACTATTCAGCATCACTTTGAAAACTTTTCAAGCAGTGACACATCAGGACTAATGTGGATACCAGCTTGGGCTACTGATGCTATCGTGTGTTAGTAAGTGTACTCTAACTCACAAAATAGCTAACTTGACATCTCAAACAACAATATAGTACAGAAATTAGGAAAAAGGTTTAAACAACTATTATGTTGATCAATATCAATATTTTAAACTTTTTTTTGTCTTGTACCTGGAGAAAATTTAGTTGATGTTATTCAAATAAATTGTTTAAAACAAGAAATCAACTGTTATACATAATTTTTTATAGAGATGGAGCTAGTGGGGAAAACTTTGCAATCATTTAACTACTTTATTCTTTTAATTTCTGTCTGGAGAAGGGCTAATATTCAGGACAGAAATAAGGAATATAATAGAAAAAAATAGAAAACAATAAGAAAAAGGGTTTTTTGGATTTTTACTCTTTAAAAATTACCAATTTTAAGAACTCTGGGCCAGGCGTGGTGGCTCATGCCTGTAATCTCAACATTTGGTAGGCCAAGGTGGGCAGATCACTTGAGGTCAGAAATTTGAGACCAGCCTAGCTAACATAGCAAAACCCTGTCTCTAGTAAAAATACAAAAACATTAGCCAGGCATGGTGGTGCACACCTGTAGTCCCAGCTACTCGGGAGGTTGAGGCAGGAGAATTGTTTGAACTCAGGAGGCAGAGGCTGCAGTGAACCAAAATTGCACCACTGCACTGCAGCTTGGGGGGCCACAGAGAGAGACTCTGTCTCAAAAAAAAAAAGAAAAAATCTACCTAAGCTATTAATAATTATTTCCTTTATGTTTTGTTAAATCCAAGTCCACATATGGTTTGGCAAAAGTCCATTGATTATGTCATACCTTATGTCTGAAATTTGCTGCTTCATTGAGATAAGTCTTAGATTTGAATTTTGAAAACCACTGAATAACTTAACAAATTCTAATTATAGGTGTCTTGTTACATTTATTCATTTTCCAAACAACTACTGTGGACTCACCGTTGCCAAATCCAGTGCTGAGAGCTGAGGCTACAGCAGGGAGAAAGGTAGACCAGGTTTGTGCCTACATGCTTCACAGAGAAAACCCGCACATTGATAAAAATATACACGAATTGAGAGAAGTTCAGTAAAGAAACTTTTAATAAATAGAGAGTTTGGGTAAAAAAGGGTCAAGGCACAGAAAGGCCTATCCAAGGAGAGAGCATTTGGGCTGAAATTGGAGGGATGAGAGAGACGCAGTCCTCAGAGAGTAGGGATGGCGTTCCAGGCAGAGGGTACAAGGACTCAGATTGTTCATGAGTGATAAACTTGCGTTTTTCCAGGATTGTATGCATTTTCAAGTTCATCAGGTGCTTATGATGGACCCAAGAGCCAGATTCCAGCAGAGATGGTGTTCTGGTTGATCCCCGAGGAACTCAAGCTTGCCTAACTCTTTCTGCTCATGCCCACCTTGGAAATTCTCATCTTAGCACAGCATCCAGAGTAAACTCCCACAGCTGCCTGATGTCAGGTGCAATAAGTGGGGAGGGAGTATAGGGCCCACCCCGCCCCCAGCTTATGTAATCTCCCAAGGGCTGAGGAGATCAGCAGTACCTTGGGCACACCTAGAACCAGGGCTGGCTATACAACCTGAGGGTCCCAGTGCACAATGAAAATATAGGGCTTCTTTTTCAAAACATAGGAAAAAATGCCTTTAAAGCCCCTAAAATATAAAGGTTTTCCCATTTGTCTGTAATCTCTCAACTTGTCATCATATTTTTTATTTGCTATTTAATGTTATTCTAAGTAAAGAAATGTTAAAAATTTAAATTGTTAGCATTATCTTTATTTATTTATTTATTTATTTATTTGAGATGGAGTCTTGCTCTGTTGCCCAGGCTGGAGTGCAGTGGTGTGATCTCAGCTCACTGCAACCTCCACCTCCTGGCTTCAAGCGATTCTCCTGCCTCAGCCTCCTGAGTAGCTGGGATTGCAGGTGCACGCCACCACACCCAGATAATTTTTTGTATTTTTGGTTGAGATGGGGTTTCACCATGTTGGCCAGGCTGGTCTCAAACTCCTGGCCTCAAGTGACCCACCTCGGCCTCCCAAAGTGCTGGAATTACAGGTGTGAGCCACTGCACCCAGCCCCTAAATTGTTAGGACTATCTTATCACTCATCTCCCATCCAGTACTAGCCGGGCCCGACCCTGCTTAGCTTCTGAGGTCAGACAAGATCAAGCGCGTTTGGGGTGGTATGTTTGCAGACATACCATTTTTCTTTATATTGTGCAATGCCAGTTTAATATGCAAATATGAGTATTTAGCTTATATATGGAATCACTGAAATTATGCAATTCATATTTCATAGCTTACGCATGCATATATATTTTGTTCTTACCAGAAGAATGGGAACACCACACAAAACCAACTGAGTATTTCACTCTTTATGTGCACGTATTCTACCAATAGTCTGTACTATCAGTTTATTGATTAGCAAGAGAGGATTGACAGGAAAAGAGGCTATGCTTTTTCCTTTCCTTTATTGTCGCCATAAGTGGTCAGCTAATACAGGGAAGTAACACAACTATGAAGAGATATGATAGGGTTCCTTCGTGTTCATGTTTCTTGGGGCACTACTGCTTTCTTTCTGCGTTTTAAGCAAGTTCTGAATCAGGAGAGTGTGACTCCTCGGGGAGTCAGCTCCCATGAACACTCAACATAAAGGGAACACACTTCCCATGTGCAGATGTTCAGGTTTCGCGCCCATGAAGCCCTGCCTGCAGCCTGTCCCAAAACACCCCAGTACAAGGTGGGAATCTCTATTCCTGGGTGTTTATTAGAGTTGATTCCCTTCTTAAAGCCTGGCAGCATATCTGTTGGCAAAATTGTGTTGGCATATGAGCCAGGATCTGTTACTAAATAAAGCAGCTTGTATGAACAGCCCTACAAGAGAAGTTCATTTACAAGACAAAAACTTCTGAAAAGGAATTACTATTACCTTTTTCCCTGGGATCCTAGGTACAGTGGTGAGTGCCGACAAAGGGACATTTCTTTGTCAACTCAGACTGTTTTATATAGGCAGCCCTGTATCCCCATTTTGTTTCTGATATTTAGATTACACTTGTTAAGTAGAAAACATTGCCAAACTGCTCATTTCATCCAAATGTCATTCACTTTCAAGGGATCAGAATGACTGTTTTATAACAAAGGACATGTTTAGTTGAGACCTTGTATAAATCTTTTAGAGAGAGGACATGCATAGCCAAAATTGAACCTGATGACAACTGAAGAAACAAGCCAATGAAATTACTTTGGAGTAGT